TTAAAAAGAAATACATTTTTGAAAAATGCTAAATGTACATACAAACCATACAAACGACATAATGAAGCTCTTAAAACAAGAAGTTGAAACAGTCCCTGTTTGATCAAATACAATAAAGCAGCACCCACATGAAGTTCATTCTCATGCCAGTTGTTATTGTGCCTTGGTGCTAGAGTGGTCTCTTGAGGTATATTAAGGAAATCAAGCCTTTGGAAGTATAGTTCAGAATTGTATTTCCTAATATGAATAAATACAGTATTCTCTTGACAATTAGGCCCAAAAGATCCTATTCAGCTACAGGGCTTCCCTCATCAGCGGTGTCCACTCGCAGGTTCTGGAGTCGCCACCACAACTGATTTATCCACATCATTTTTAGAAGACTCTGCAATAAACATTTCTGTCTGTGAAACTCAATGACTTATGTGCAATCCATTTCACTGTACATATGTCCACACTGTACATATTCTGTTCACAATTGTAAATATTCATTTTTATTCCATTTATATGTTTTATATCTACCACATTTATATTTATATTTTTGACTGCCCTCTTGCTGCTTTAATGTTGCAAATTGACCCACTGCTGGATGCATAAAGGATTATCTTATTTTATCTTATTAAAATATTGTCACAAACCATATTGCCTGCCCATATTGCAAACGGAAGAAGTAGGGCATGCATGGTTAATCACATTAATGATGTGTGTGCGTGTGTGTGTGTGTGTGTGATGGACACATACAGACTTGTGCACATGTACATTTATTGAACATGCACACACAGGCCTGCAGGGCCTCAAGAGGTCTTTCAGTGCTGCCATACTTGGATTGATTCCATCACACTGAGCATGTCATACACTAGAATTCTTGGCTTTTGTTCATCTATGCTGAGGGAACATTCCTTCTATGCCAGGCCAATGCTGTAGAGTAGTCTCTCTTGGTGAATTATGAATCCTCTCGCCACCTGAGAGATGCTCCGTTGGTCCATATGTGCCAAAGTCTCCAAGAAATGAGGTTAGCAAGTGAGATACCATGTTCCTTGAAAAAGAGGAAGGTTCTGGGTTATTTACGTCCTCACTTTTTAACTGGTGTGAAATCTGCTCAATTTTGTACCAGTTAAAAAAACGAAAAAAGTATGTGTCACACTCAGAAAATTCTAAGTTGTATTACTTATTCTTAGCCACGATCATATGCCACCATGATGACAATCAACGATCCACAAGGAGAAAGCACAAGGACTCTGGGAAAGAAGTCAGTATCATGTATTGATGAGACGTTGATGTGATGAGGAGGGAGAAGAGGGAAGAGAAGCTGTCATGTGTCATGTTTCACCTGATAATCAAGACCTATAGCAGCATAACTGAGAGCTGGTCCAAGACAGACCTGAAGCTTTGACAATACACTTGATCTAAAAGGCAAGTTTTAAGTGAAATGGTTTGTATTTATATAATGCTTTTCTAGTCTTCATGATCACTCAAAGTGCTTTACACTACAGTTTGCCATTCACCCACACATTCATACAGTGCATCTATTAGCAGCACTTTTTTTGTTCTATGGGGAAATCACATGTTGCAGCTGAACACCCCTCACCTCACCCTCTCCTTCCAAACATGAAAAAGAACCTGTGGCAGCTTCAGTTGTCATAAAAACTCAAAAGGTGTTTAGTTTGTTCAGTCTGGACTAATGTAAAAAACATGGCGGCCTCCGTAGAGAGGGTCCCCTCCATGTAAATATAAAGTATTTAAATATAAAGAACCTTTTCTGAGGTAAAGAAAACTACAATTCATACAATTTAGATGACACGAACTAGTAAAAACATCATGAGGATTATACTACATAAAATTTCTGCAAATAGATCCCTTTGACCTCAATCTTACACACTGGACCTTTAAATGCATCAGGCGACAAACTGGTATAAAAATGTCATTTGTCTGACACAGTAAGAGCAACAGTTCAAAAAGATGTGTCACATTTTCTTATATTGATATTTGATCTAATTCTGAGATACAGTTGTATGTGGACAGTTTTGAGGACATAGTTTGCTCCATAGAGTTCGTACCATCCACTGTGAAGGACTCCTGTCACATTACAGTGATTTGATACTTTGTTAACAATTAAGACATAACAGAGCATGGTGCTTATCTGTTTCAAAAGTATTTGAAAAGCCATATATGTCAAAATGACAAGAGTAATTAACCAAAACGCATTGGTAACAGTAGTTATTACTACAAGGCTTGTGCAGTACAATCTGTACAATAACCGTGTGCAGGGAACATACAGCTTTGCTTTGAGAACAAAACGAGACATTTACTGTCTATTCCTGTCTTTCTGCATGCAGGGTGGGGACCGTGCAGCTGCACAAGCTACTACTAAGTAGGTTATCCTACACACTTAATCACATTAAATATTAAAGAGGGTTCTTTAAATAAACTAGTGCCTTGAAAATTAGACCCTCCACATGCGCTTTTTCCAAATGCAGAAGGGACTCAAAGCAAGAGGAGAAAATGAAAAGAGGGGGAAGGAGAGAGCGTGATTACATGCAAGAGAGCTCTACACTGGTGTTAAGTGTGCTGACGACTGCTGTGCGTACTCCTCCCTGTTCCCTGTGCACAGAGAGGAAAATGTACATTTCTTGATCTAGAGCTGAATTATTTGCACACAGTGTTTTACTGTGTAGTTGGTATTTACAGCACTGCTGGAATCTGTTACCGTAATGTACCCAAAATGCATAAAGGAAAACGAATCTGGTGATATTCTGTCCATTTCTTCCAATTCTCCAACACAATGAACAGATTCAAACCAACAAGGATTGCGTGTCTCCAAAGACTGCACCACAAAAAGGTGAGCAACCTCAGTTGGGTGTTCAATGATGGGAGGGGAGCAATCTGTCCTCTAGCGCTTGAGCTTCAATCAGGTCTGTGAGAAGAGGGGTCAGAGGTCAGGGCCAAGTCACACGCTGGATCTTTTTCTTCACCTTTGGAAACTTGAGTGCACCCGAGCTTCTTGTGTCCTCACTGCGATGCATGAGGACGAGCTATTTTCCAAATGCTTGGATGTGGGGTTGGACTGCAGCTGGAGAAGGTTGTAACATGTCAGTTAAACTTGCAGTATGGAGTCGCTGCATGCGTCGAGTAATGTTATTGTAATTAATTTACGTAATTTATTAAGAGTGTGGTTTCTTGTCTTTTTCTCATCTATAGCTACAACATGATTTTTATATAATATAGTGATTTTCCCTCTATACTAATGTTTTTATCATACAGTGGTCTGGGTCATTGGGGTCAGCTACAACATCACCACAGCATTAAGGAAACACCTGCACCACCTCAACCTGCTGTAGCCAGTCTGAGATCCCGACACAAAAATCATCGTGTCCGGCAACACTCACTGGCTCGTTCTAATCCAGGGAAATTCTGCACTATTGTGAATACTGTTATAGCACCATCACATTGGGTTCAACACTCCTTTATCGTGCTTTATCATTTGCAGATCCATGTGTTGTTTTACCCTAATGGACCCATATGCAGTGACATCAGGTAAAGATGCTTATTTTTCAGTATTTCTTTTGAGTGACATCATTGTTCAGTAATATGATCGAAGGAATCTTTACAAATCACTCAACAACAACTAGCCCATTTTTCATGACCACACCATGTGAATGGTTTGCTCAATGACCCTTCTTTGTGTCATGCCTTTAGACATTTGTTTGTACATGTTCTTTGCATCTACTAAACATTAATTACATGACCAGAAGCATGCCATTCACACGTCCATCCCCTCTGAGCACAGCTACAATACAGAAAACTACATTAATGTTAAACCAAAACTATTTTCTTGTCCTCTAGAAACTCCACTGAAGTTGGATTGCAATTGTGGAAGTGCGTTGAGCACAATGTTCCTTGGTACCTGATAGCTAATAATAATAAATCCTTACGTTGTCAGTGCTGAAGAAGTCAAAGCAGAGTGATTTGTTTCAACAGCTTAAACCTGTTTTAGAAGATAAGCAGCCTTTCAGTTCAGCACTGAAGCAATAATCATTACATGTTCTCCAAAAACATTTTCTTTCCAGACGTTTCAATCAATATTCTGTCATCACAACGGTATAATGACGATCACAGTGTTGAACAGAGCTGCTTCATTTGGGATTATTCACTGCCGACCAAGCTTTAACACACTGAAACAAACATCTGACAGCATGTGTGATTCTCTTTAAAATGCCTGGGAATGACATCATACATCTTTGTTTGTCACATCAAATTCATGCTGATACAGTCTGCAAACACAAGGTGTGATCAGTCTTTATTATTATGTCAACAACTCGTAAAATACTTTTTCACATATTCGATGATAAAAGCAAAAGAAGAGTGAGAGGAAAAGAGATAAGACAAAAATAAAAGTATAAAACAGATCGTATTACAAAGACATTGCCAAAAGCCACAGTCTTCATCAGACATGTAAACGTGAAATCTCAATCGGCACAAACAAGCAAACATTCATGTTAGAGTTTCATTAGGCACTTACAGCTTCAGTTAGACTGGAGCAGATCAGTACTACTGTGTGTTATTCATACCATTCTGATCCCACATAGTAACCTAAAGGAAGAGTAACTCCAGTTGGATGGAGATGTCACCTGCAGTACAAGTGTATTTTATCTTTTTGGTGCATGAATCTGCACTGGCTGGATTCTCTTTAGAGGCCATGAGAATTGGAAAAAACACACAAAACAGCTCCAGACCAATCAGTCACAGACCAGCGTGTCCATTGAAAGTTTGATTATTTACTTGGTCACTGCGTCAGGTTATGGGATCCTAAATACTTGCTGTGGATGAATGACACGTACAACACTAACCAAGCTCAAATCTCCTGCATCTGCATGGCAATGACGGTCTGTGTGATGTAGATACCTGCATACAGTATGTCTGTTTGGGTCAACATACAGTACGTGAACACACACAGTGCACTATAAGCACTTCTACACCCAGACTATATCCCTGTGCATTTTTTGCATCTCCAGGAGTTTCTATGAGTGGTTCACCAGTGCAAACACATGGCGACACGTGGAAGGATGTCACATTATTCCACATTATCTTAACAGGTTACTACTGTCGGTTGATGTCTTTGATGCTAGTTTTTTGACAGGTTGTCGTGATTTGTCCCAGATGCTGCGTCCCAGAGAACAGTTTACAGACAAAAAACATCTTAACTCATGATGTTTCAACTTGATTTCAATGTTGAAAAAATCAAGAAAAGTAGACATTGAATGAAGTTTTCCCCAAGATCGAGAACGCAAACAAGTCCCCTGGAACTGTCCCCAACTCCATGAGAGTAATCTGTGTAAGACTTTAAGAAAAAACAGTGGTTGTGTTCAAAATGCTATAATATTGTTAGAAAAGATCATGATCAGTCACATGGTTCGAGTTCATTGGTGTTATTGATGCAGTACATTGGTAAGCTGTGTCACAATTAGTGGGGGTTTCTTTTGAAGCCTGGATTTTACAATGAGAACATTAGTTCTGTCAATTTTTCATTAAAACCAAGTTTGAACAAATGAGCACAAACTTGAAATCTAAACCCACCTAACATGACCTAATCAAAAATGATATTGTTGATCTTTCATTTTGTTTATTCATGCTTCAAACAGCCTCGCTTCTAGCTATGGTTTTCAAACCCATACATTTCACATTACTTTGGAACTTTTAGACTCTTCTGTGATGGAACTTGCACTGTAGTTTACCTTAAGCATGGTCTTTTAGGTTGCGAGCAGGACGCCTTCATTTCGTGTTCAGATATTTTGGCTTGTGCCCAAGAAGAAACATTGGCAAAATCTGTCCGAGTAACAAAATATCTGGGGGCAAGTGCGCAATTTGAGCACAATCGGAGCAAATCTACGCACAAGGAGGGGGTATTTGAGTGAAAGCATTACAACAATCGAAACGTGAAATTAATGAGCCCTGCTCTCAAACTAAAAGACCACGCTACCGAATAAAAATACCCATTAACAACAGTGTCACCGTATGTTAACGTTCTGTCAATGACACATCACAGTTCTCCACCATCCACATTGGAGGGAAGTGTTTCAAAGTGGCACCATGTTGTTTGTAGTTTGAAGATGCATCACCACAGTGAGCAAAGAGCCAAGATTCTTCCATTAATGTTTGGCCATGCACACAGAGGTTTGTAAACATCAATATGTTTGGTACTTTAGATCACAGCGTGTGTTATTTTTTTGTCGATGCCCAATTATCACTGGAATGGTTTAACTAGGATTAAACTCTTTGGCCAGAGAGAAAGAGAAAAAGAGAGAGAAAGAGAGAGAGTGCTTGTTTCGTACATAATGCATGTTTGCAAAGTGGACATTGGTTCAAAGTCTGTACTTTGGAAGTTCTGGTGGATAAACTGGACAGGAATGAGATTTTTCTTCCACACTTCAGGAAATATCTTCCCCATCGAGCTGCTCACTAGGTTCCACTTTCTGAGACAGGAGGAATGACTCCCACACAGCCAGGCACTGAAAGACAAGAGAAGGCGAATCGTCATCAGCATCATTATCATATTATACTGCACATTTTAAAGCTGAGATTTGATTGAGATTAAGTGCTTGTCAGCAGAAATTGATTGATGGGGGCTGCTTCTGAAAAATGTTCATAGATTTCTAAAAAAGAAAACAGGAGTCTGCTTAAACTTTAGCCTCAAACTTGTTCTTAGTTTCAATCATTTTGAGGCTTTTACACACATGTCCGTCAGTCACTAAAGCTCCATGTTTATTCCTATTGATTTATTTGTTGAATGTTATTGTGAACGTGAACCAGAAGAGGTTAAAAAATAAATAATGTATACATTTTTCTACCATGGTCCTTATAACATAATTCCCAAAACTGTTTTTCTACCTCCCCCACCACGCTTGTCATCAGGGTTCTGTCAAAGTCTGAAGAAAGTTCTCACCCCACTACTTCTCTCAACGTTCTCTTTTGATCAGTCTTTCCTGAGTTTCTCCCACTCCACTGCCATAACAATAATGAAAGCACATTATGGCAGTGACAGAGGCATTGAGCGCCATTGTGTGAGTTTGCATGTGTGTATCTGTGCGTGCGTCGCCGAGGAATTGACAAAGCAAATCCCCTTTTATCGCAAAGACGCAGTTATCTAGATAACAGGAGAGGCAGGAAGCCACACAACCAGAAAGTGAAAATGACAAGCACTCCCCCACAGCACAGACACACCGAAAAAGCCAATCTATGAACTTGGGTTCCACTCTGTCAGCACACATCAATAGTGCAGTCAGTTTTTCCAAGGTAATAGCAGTTCGTTTTGAGGTTGCAATAAGTCAGATCCTTGGCCCGTCAACTCTCTCTTTAACAGCCTATTTCTCTCAATAGCATCCGCAGCACCTTGGTGGCACTGTGGAAGTGCAGGCTGGAGTTTTGGTCATAGAATTGAAGAGGAGGCAGAAATGTTATTGGTCACATTTGGCTTTTTAAAAGTCAACACCTCCAGGGAAATGGAGGGGGAGGTAAGAGCATGTCAAGCCTGGAATGAAAATGTATATACTATATATATGCTGTATATAGATACACAGACAATATATATTACATTTGTTCCACCACAAATTTATATTGAACATTTTGAAACAATATAAAGCATCTCTATTTTGGTGTTAAATGCTGTTGTTCTCACCGTTTCTCACATTCTCATTGACCGTCATGTTTTTATGGTTGTCATGATCCCCCCAGGGTTCCACCTCCCTACAAACAATCACTACTGCAGCAGCAGGATTTGATCTTATGGTCTGTATTTACATAGCACTTTTCTAGTCCTGATGACCACTCAAAGCACTCCACAGTATAGTTCTTGCCATTCACACATACATTGGCACAGTGCATCTATTAGCAGCACTTTTGTTCTATGAGGGGCAATTTGGGGTTCAGCATCTTGCCCGAGGACACTTCAACATGCAGATGGAAGACTGGGATCGCACCACCGACCTTCTGCTTGGAGATGGACCACGATTTTTTAATTAATTTATAAATATGCATTCCTTTCACACTGGCAATTACAATTGAGATGACAAAACAGTCTAACAACACCTCTGTTACTGAGCGTAGCGCACTTACTACACTCAAAAGTTCTCGTAATAAGCCATTCAGGACACACTGAAATTTCTAGCAGTGCAGATAATGTTAAGATAAATGTTAGAAATTGCTTATCTACAAAATAATGAGATTAAAAGTTAGTAACAATTCTTTCCTTCGCAGCATAACTTTAAATTCCAAGAACTGGTGCTTTTGGCTGCACAGACGGAAGGTGTTTCTAACAAAGCAGATTTAGATTTTCCAGCAGAGCACTAAATCTGTCCATGGAGGCTGGATTTAAAAGGCTGTTGACTCAGCACAGTCTCCTTTATGGAAAACTACAGAGAAAGCCAAGAGACAAGGAAACTGTAGTACATTAATCTGACAACAACCAAAAGAGTTGGACAAGGAAATAGGATTGATTCACTTCCAGTTAACACAGTAGAAGAATTGATGGTCTTGTACTGAAGCTTCTGAGTGGTTGGAGTCTTTTTACACACAGTGAAATAGAAGCTGTTCAATCCCTCGGTATATGCACAAAATAAAGTTTGTTACATATTTTTCAGTATTTGGCAAAATCACTGTGCTACTCTGGTGACTTCTGGTGAGCATTATACTAATTCAGTGCAATTAGTGTTCATTTGTTTAGTGCCAAATCACAGCATACAGTATCTCAAGACCCTTTACATAGTAAGGTCACAAACTTATAGTATTACAGAGAAACCCAGCAGTTCCCACAATGAGCTAACACTTGGTGACTGTGAAGAGACAACTCCCTTTTAACAGGGACAAACCTGACTCAGTGCGACTCTGTCATTTTGTACTCAGGCCCATATGCTGTATATTCCTATTCAAGTGTAGGGTAAAGTAGTCTCAGACTTCAGACCTCTATTCTGTGCATTCAATCAAATGTCTCATCATGTAAAAGCCCACTTATTAGTTGATGACTCATTCTGAACTCATGTCCATATATTTCATATTTTTATATATGATGGAAAAACTATGAATAAAATTGGCCAGTATTCATGTGCAAGTATCGAACATGCTAGAATCACAGGCCATTTAATCCAAGGCAGCAACATGACTTTTAAAACAGCAGGGCATCGACCCTCTCACAGCAGGTGAAAATGAGTCACTGTCAACTTATGCTCTGTGAAGATACATCTGTGTGGTTATATGCAGAGATGGATGTCATGGGTGGACGCTCTGGGAGAGAAAACGTGCACACCTTCCACAAATGTAATCGCTTCAAGAAATCTGATCATTTGATTCAGATTTGGTCAGAAGTTGTACCCATAACTACAAAAGAAACCTCTTTAATGCATCTAAACAATCCCTGTATGCGTTTGTCTATGTGCAGTCTGGACAAGCATAATTTCAGTTAAGGTGTTCCAGCTAGCCTCTTCAACACTTGCAAATCAGTAATATTAGCTAGTGTCTTACAACTCAGCAATCCAATACTGATCAAATCAAGTTGCTCTGCTGCCCTGTCACTTGTTATGTCAGTAGAACTAAGAGATACATCTATTTATTACAAATTTTGTTTAATTTTGGTTACTTGAGCCATCCGTTTTATCAGTTACACTAAGATTGTACTAACCAAGTAATATGTGACATCTGAGAAGGCAGTGATATCGCTATTCTAACTGCTCTAATTTTGAGCAAACAGTAACATTTGTTTCTTGATGATTGGCTGCCATAGTAAAGAGGTTTAAATTATCTGGAACTGTTGGCTAGTTTAAAGCTTGAATTAATTGGCTCGTTGTGCTTCCTTTTATTGTTTTCAGATTACAGCTATGAGTTATTAACATTAATCAAAACAATGTATAGTTATTTAGAAATTGACACTTGAAGTTTTGGAGTTTGATTCATAGTAACATACCATATCTGTTATCCTTAGGGCAGAATAAATATTTATGTGGTACTACAACCTCAAAAAGTCCATACTAGGCAAAGCAGTGTTGTAATTAGGTGGTTATTGAGGAAGAATGTCTAGTTTAAAAACTTAGAGAATAGAATATTGTCATGCAGGATTCATCATCGGTAAGTGCTTATATAAATGGCTAATTAAGGACCAATATGCCACTAACATTCATGCTCATAAGCAACAAAGGTGAGTAAGTACACTTTAGTATCAAGTTTTACTTGGGATTTTGAAAACAAGGAATCATGGGATTCTCAGGCTGAACATTTTTGACTTATCAAGCTGTACTTTCGGCATATCAAACACCCCCCGAGGCATTCTCTCTAAAACGGAAATCCAATATTATTCAGAAATTATTGAAATGTTCCAAATGTTCTTACAGCAAATTTGTCGGGCTTGCAGATTGCTTCGCTTCCACCTTGTGTCAAGTTAATCCAAAAGCAGCTCCATGGGTTTTAAGTCTGAAGACTGTCTGCTTGTTTATCAATTAAGCCTCCATCTGGTTCTGTTCTTTCAATATTTTGAACTATATCTTGTTGCAGGATGACAAACAAATCTGTCTTTTTTCTCACAATAGCAATATAAAACACTACTTCCTGCAGTACAGTACTATGAATACATAGTGCAGTAACACACACATTACAGGGTAATTAACAAAAGTTGGGGCATCTGGAAATACACGTAAAACTCAAGAGGTTTCTAAAGGTGGAAATCACATTTGAAAACCAATAAAAACCTCTCCTCTGTCTGTCCACTTCTATCCTACCAAAAAACTATGATTAAAAACAACCCTAAATAAACTAGAATAAACTAATTACAATTTTACGTTTCAGTCAAACTATCAATGGATTTAGTGTAATTGTTGGATCTGGAAATGTTCCATCTCATACGCCTCCAAATTCTGAGATACTTTTTGGGATCCAATGCTACATTATACTGTAACATCTGTCCAGCAGAGGGCTTCAACAGCTAGCCCAATTTTATGAGGACAATAAAATCATCTTGAAATATAAGGAACATCCTTACATTTATATGAATCCTATTGTCTAGCAGAGGTCACCATGGTAATACTGACAAAACCACCTTTGCCAGTCATAGTGAAGAACAGAATGCTTGGGTCATGTTAATCCTGCATCTGCATAATCATCACTGCGTCATTGATAACCGCTGGTTTTGAAGACCACAAGTTTCACTATGTTAGAATTCTATAATTTTTATTTGGTTTTATTTTGTTTGCCTTAACACTCAAATTTTTTTCAGTGCAGCTGCTAACATGAAATTATGCTTTCTCACAAATTATTAAGATAGTTTACTAATTCAGATCTATAATGTTCTTGGGTTCTCAGTTGTATTAACTGTGTGGGTTGAATATCTGCCTAACAAGTACTGCTTGTTATTGAAGTCACTTGTGCAGTGCCTGTCAAGCTGGGGCATGGCCTTATCTAATGTCATCAGTGATATCAAAGGGTTGTGTTGTGATGGACAACACCCCCCACCCCCTCCAAGTTAGCAGAT